GAACGATGAGAACAGGACCACATCGATGACAGATGGTCTTTCGGCTCCTTGCAGCAAATAACCGTGAGTTGCATACGTGTGCCCAATACGTAGTCTGCAGAGCACTGCCTCTTCTTGCCTGACTTTGCGAGAACATGATAACCACTGACCCAGCTTGGGTTGTATTGCTCTGAGCTGCCGCTTCCTTGTCCCGGCATCTCGTGCCGCGTCCAACGTCCAATAGCTAGCTGCCACCGCCCACAGGTGACATTTGCACCGTTTACAGTCTCAGCTCCTCTGGGAAGCCGGCAGGGGTTGCCACTGGGGATCCCCCCCCCCCCCCCCCCAGCTGGAAGGTCACCCGACAGCGGTCGGCGTCCGCGTGCCTGTCACCAGGCCCCTCGAGCCCAGCTGGGGGCCAGCAGCACGGTACGGTGACCCCGGATGTAGGCCTGACTGCCCTGTGCGGCTTCGAAAATGTCACCGCCGACGCTCCATCCCGGCGGAAGAATTGCCCGCGCGAGCCGGGGCGATTTAAGGCACGGAGCCGCTTTGGAGTTAAATATGTCATAGCTGCTGCTCACTATACTGGTATGATCGACAATGTTTTGCAAGATATATACATATTGCATATGGATATTACTATTTCGTTGTATCACGTTGAACACGATAATCTTTTTTCCCTTTACGTTGCCATAATTCCGCACTTTGACCGTACATGGGCCCACGTTACTCGCACTGTTTTTGTAGGACATTTTTAGCTGAAGTGCTCCTTCCAAAAGCAGGCCGCAAAAGTGACGACATTCTAGCTACTCGGGACCGCGTGAACAGTCTGAAAAGCTGCATTTCTTGGCCAGAATTTTCGGCTTCTTCCGACTGGAACAAGACCCAGAAACGCTCTTGGTAGGCCATATGGGTCAAATTTGTTTAGTCCAGCTCACATCAGCAGCTCGCCAGCAAGCAGGAAGAACTTCCCATACACTTAGGTTACACATACTGAGGCCACAGCTGTGCCTAGGAACGAAAAGGAAGACGTCTCACGGATACTCACCACAGAACACAAAGTTTGTTCCGTCAACATATTGAATACCAGCACGTTGAAAGCACAAACCATCTCGTGCGCGTCATGACTGGAGGACCTCCAGTTTATTACGTTGTGGTATCTCACGACAGAATACAGCCTGGGCTGGCCTCCACGCGGGATACGGGGTCACTAAACAAATCTGGCGCTTAAAATGATCGTGGTAAAACCAAATCATACATGATCTGGATGCCGCGCATGGGCTTCACGCAGCATCAGTATGATATGACCACATCAAAGCATTAATCTCAACCTCCCTGACATTTTATTCGAATTCGTCCAGCCCATTTTCAGTCCTCCTTGGTGGTACGCATGGCCATGATGCGTATGCAATACCTCCGTCGGAATGCTAGCACAGAAATACATAATAAAAAATAAACAATCCGTCCTTGACAAGAACAGAGCCCTGATCAGTCTCTGCTAAGGCCACTACCATGCACGTGATCGCGAGCTAAACACGATAAACGCGTCGCCCCGTGGTAACGTGGCAGGCTTTTACCCCCGACACAGCACGAGATTACATTACGATAAGCGCCACCGTACCCGAGAGGGTTTACAATGCACTCACAGGGCGAGTCCGTGTCGACCACTTACGCTCCAAGATAGCGATGTACCCCGCCGCATGTTAATGCATGCGCCGCTTCATCTCGCTCCGGACGAATACCACCACAGCTGGATATGCGATATGGTTCAGCCGCGCGAACGTCGCCTCAGTGATAAAAAACAAAGTTTGTGGGGTTCCCTCGGGCGCTCTCCGCGGTCTGCTGGAAGTTGGTCTTTCAGGGGAAAGGTTATCATCCAGCACGCCGAATCAGGTTGTTGTTATGGGCGTGCTTTATGTGGAAAGTTGCAACATTCCGCTCTGGCGCGCTCAGTGGCGCGGTAGCCCGCTGAGCACGAAAGGCGTCGGCCACGCAGACGGCACCCGATGAGTGTCCACCAGATGATACCAGTCCACCGGTCCAGCAATAATACCACATGAGTGGGCGCACAATGGGCTCCACGGCCACGGTCACCGTGCCGCAGCGCGGCGCGGTGCCGCCAGCAGGCGACGCCGCTGCCTGTTACATTTGATAGGCGGCCGTGGAACCAGCCACCGATGTAATCAGCGTGTAATGTGGTGAAGCCAGCAACCAACGCACGAGCGGTTTGACTAGACGGCGTGATGTTCTGCAGAGCACGCTTCAAAACGTCAGACCTTCCGTTTGATAGTGCCACACATCTATCATTAGTGAAATGTAATACATTATGTTCTGATCTATTTTACGTCGTGAGCAACGTCCGGGTTCATTAGCGACCCCTTTTAGGTTAGGGAGACCGCGATGGAACACAGAATGTGACCCATTTCTGAATGCCCAAGAGGACCTAAGTGCAACAAAACCTACTCCTAGCCATAACAAATTTGTACGCGCCGTCGGGCATACGCTGAAGGTTGAAGCGACGTGAAAACCTTGCATACTGCCATAATTCCGCCGGGCTGCCAAAGGCTCGTGAAAAGGTAGTATGTATGTAGCAGTCACAATGGTCGCACGACGGTAGGTTTGTTAAACACTTGTTTTTCGAGGTTCGCTCAAGGTTCATCAGCGTCAAATACGCTTCTGATTCATGAAGACGGAAATACAAAGTTTTAACATGCAGAGTTTGGTGGTGATTTTGTGTTATGTTTCTACACAGAACTCTGGCGCGGCAAATGTCTTTGTCACCACGACGCTGTCTAATGCTTTCATTTTAGCACAAAACAAGCGCTGCTTTACGTTTGGGGTGTGGGGGAGGGGGTCGTATCACATTCACCCTGTATGCAGCGCAGCATTGGAGATGTAAGTTCAGCCAGGACTAGGGAAATTGAACGCCGTCAAAACGAGGACCACCGGCTGCTAAAGCACGCGGCTTCGCCGGCGTTAGGGACTCCCAACAATGAACCGCAAGGAAACCCGGACATTTTCCGTCAGCGGAGCCGCGGCTGCCGTCACACCCGGGGCTGGAGGCCGGGATACCGCCGCAGTTATCACACCCGGGGCTGGAGGCCGGGATACCGCCGCAGTTATCACACCCGGGGCTAGACGCCGGTATACCGCCGCAGTTATTACACCCGGGGCTAGATCGGTATACAGCCGCGACTGCCGTCACATCCGAGGCTAGACGCCGGTATCCTGCCGCAGTTATCATGTCCGGGACTAGACGCCGGTATACCGCCGCGGCTGCCGTCACATCCGGGGCTAGACGCCGATATACTGCCGCAGTTATCACATCCGGGGCTAGACACCGGTATACAGCCGCGACTGCCGTCACATCCGGGGCTAGACGCCGGTATCCTGCCGCCGCAATTATCATGTCCAGGGCTAGACACCGGTATACAACCGCGGCTGCCGTTACATCCAGGGCTAGACGCCGGTATACTGCCGCAGTTATCACATCCGGGGCTAGACGCCAGTATACCGAAGCGCCGCGCGGGAGACTCCAGCGTTGCTCTGCTGCGTCCTCTGTACCGCAGATGACCGATGACAGGTATCGCGACGGGCCAAAACAGCGCATTGAGCATAGGCAATTGGAGAAGAGTCACTTCGAAAAGACCAACGCATGCCTGTGTATGGATAGGCAACGCATGCATGGCAAACAAAACCCGGCGTGAGGATGCCCGCAAACCCTGTCAGAGGCCAAAACAGTGGACCCGGAGCAAGCAAGCGTAAAACACTGCCAACTATATCACAACAGGCAAGCAATGAAGCGTCTCCTCCAGAATAAAAAGGACACCCACCGTTGAATTGTGAGCATAAATTAGTCACGTGCCGAACAGTGAGTGGTGCATTGTCATGGGGCTTGGCCACAGGCCTGGCTGTGGCTTCATTGCGTTTAGCTTATTATTTATCGCGCCAACCCAGCAGCGCGGCTACTTTTCTTACACCCACGCACAGCTTGAGGCGCCATAGCGTGCGTCCTCCGCTGAAGCACGGTGCCTAGCTCTCGAGACAACGGGACGCGGCTGACGCGCACGCGGCTCGAACCCTGCGACGTGATCTGACGCGTCACTCGCCACGCCCACTGACGGGTTACTAACGTGTCCAGCTTTCCGCTTGTCCAGCCCTCCCGCTTTCCTCGCAGCCACACCGCACCCAGTCCTGAACACAACGGGCCACGCCGTTGGCATGGTACATGACACCCAACGCGCAATGGTGCTCAACGAGTTCAATATCACGCGGCTCGGAGTAAGTCATCCGCTCAGCCATCCGTATCATGTCTTCCGCATAATTCTAACACCTTTGTTTTCACAGCAGGAGAGCCTGGAGGTCCTCGCATTCGACGAGCGTGCGAAGGGTGTTTTTTCCTTTTCAATTCCAAAGGGGGCGCAAGTTATCGCTGCGGGCTTCGATCCACCGACCACGCGGCGTCGGAGGTGGGAGGGAGCTGGCGGCACGGCAGCAGCACGTGCTGCACAGTATGAGGCGTCGTCTTGCCGATACCACACTATGGGGTGTTGTCATACCGACGCCGCCTACTTTCATAGCGAAACATGCCAGACAACTTGCTACGAGGCCAAGCACTTCGCGGAAATCGGCCGGCTTCCGAGTAGTGGGGTATTTCAGTGACAACGCTAGCTCACTTCCCGACAGTCCATGCTCCACGACTGTTGGGATTCCACATCATGTGAATACAACAGCCCATTCCCCGGATCCAGCGCTCATGGAAATATCTCCAATGACGTCTCCGAAGCAGACGCCCCTCCACAAGCGCTAAACGGCCTCCCTGAGATGCTAACTTCACAGAATCTTTCTCGATCGTCGGCAGCAGCCAAGCCAAGCCATTGGCAGCCCCATCCCCTGGTGCCGTAATCCCGTCCCTGCCCTGTGCGGCGCGCCCGGTCGCCTGCGGCGGGGACCACGCCGCCGAGTCATGACTCCGCGTCAGCTGCCCGGCGCGGCGGCCGGGCGGGAGATTGCCTCACCTTTGGCGGCGGCGCCGTGCGACTCGGCCGAGCCGGAGTCCGAGTCGTGTCGCTCGCCGTTACCGGACATCATCGAGTCGAACATGTCCGAGGCGGACTCTGCCGGCAGCGCGGGTCGTCACACGCTGGTCTCGCGGGAGTCAGCAGAGTCACTCACAATCATGTCGGGAGTCTGGACGGTCCGACTCGCGTCGGGAGTCCGTGAAGTACGAACTAGCCCGTCACGACACCTGAACACTTCGGCAGGCCAGACAGTCAGACTTTGGTGGGTTATCCAGACAGTCAGGCTTATTTCGGGAACGAGGACAGCCGCCTATTGTCGGGAGTCTGGATACTCCGACCGGCGGACTTGAGTCTTGAGATTAGAAAGTAATTCACGATTCTCTCCAAAACGTAAAATAGCATGTAAATGATACGATGGTAACAAGCGCACCGGTTATACGCGGGGACAATCGCACACAATTTTACCCAGCATCCGCCTATCACAAGCATATAACAGCATCTGCATCCCAGGGGAAGTGATACGTTCAAAAATGAGCACTCACTTTATAAATTCAAGAGCAAAATACGGATCATACGCGCCCAGCAGTATAATAACATAACGACATATCTAGTGATACGAGAGAAAAAAAAACAAACAAATACACGGCAAGATGCTGCGAGAACATCGTGAGAGCGTCTTATAGATGGAAAGCACCGTATCGGCTGATTCTGCAGAAAGCACGCGGTGGCATCATCGCGAATTTTGAGACGTTGTTTCGAGCGGATGAAGCCATTTGCAGAAAAATACTGCTACCATTGGACTTTTACAGCACTCATCTACCTGTTTCTGGATCAAATTAGCTTTACAGAAAAATTGTACGGCCTAAAAATGACCTGTGATAACGACACGCAAACTGGGACAGTTTTACCTATGTCATTTGTGGGTGCCATTTCATTCATTACATCGGACGTCAATTCATTACACCGGATTTGTATCCACCACCACCATGACAGATGAACTATTCCTTCGGATTAAGCTTTCATCGCAGCTTTCATCGCACTCGCCGTCAGCTTTCAACGCGCTTGGTTTCCATTCGCATCACGCACCTCAATATCGGTCGTCTCAATAGTTTGTGAATTTGGCCATTCGTCGACGCGAAGAGCGCCGGATTTTTTAGCTCGATCGCCGGCAACGACGAACAGAGTACGTTCTCTGCGCACCTGTGTACGCGCATGTTATGCAACCATCGAATCCGTCATCGGACGAGTTAAGCCCAAGCCCCTCTCCCTGCCTCAAGACCTGATACATCACTCAAGCGGTCTGTGACATCGGATACCTGGTGTGAAATTACATCGCATTTGTGTCAATCATGAATGAATTGATCACGATTGAATCATGATTAATTATTCCTCCGGGTTAAAAAGATCAATCTGTACGTAAGCACGGTACCTACAGTCGTGTAATTCAGTAGGCAGATAACATCATATTTATCAGATATTTCGGTATCCAAAGCGAGGCACAGACGAGTGGGTCTTACTTCAATCACGATAAAACTTCCCACTCAGCGGTTCGCCCCAAGCCGACTACCGCGCTTCCTAGAAGCTAAAATTTTTGTCAACACTGACTGCAGATTAATGTGGCTTTCTACAATATTAGGCCTAGTTCCATGAAGTTCTAGTGCATGAATTGTCTAATATTTTCATGCGAGCCGTCCGATCATGCGAGCTTTTCGAGAAACGCTGCAATATCACTATGATTTCAACTACCCTGATCGTTTGACATCGGACGAGTAAAAATTTCCAACTTGCAAAAGACGAACTGAACAGCACGGCTAGAAGCTGGGCTCAAATCCCCACAGGCCGGCGTCACAGTCACACGAGACATATCTGGACATATTTGATATATTTTTAGTACACCGAATTTGATTATCTTTAGACCAATTTCATACATTTTCATCATACGAGACATACATAGGCGTATGAAATATTTGCACGGAGGAGACAGCAGAAAACCGCATAAACAACATGCGTGCAGTCGATGTGCGCAGTCAGTCACGCAGGTGCGTGCGACAGCTACGGACCGACCCATCTGTTTCGGTGAGTTGTTAAGGTCTAAATCAGATGTCAGCAGCCACAGCAGATGAAGACGTGAACCCCAGTGTCGCCTTTTTCGAAAACAATGGGGAATACCAGACGCCGTGCCTTGCTGACCAACACGTACCCAAAATATGTGTAACTTACAGCACCCTAGTGACAGCTGCAAACACAACTGCGAACTAACTGGTGCGTCCAATTTCCACCGCGACTAGCGGGGCTGACAGCCTGCCATCCTGCAAGCAAACGCCTTGTGGATCTGAGCCCGAATGCTGCGTCAATAGACTTGTCTGTTAAATTTTAATGAACGGCGCCCTACAATGCATTCGTAAAGGGTGTCGGAGTCGGTTGCCTGACATCTCTGGCTTTGCTGGCTTAATTTTTGGCATCATGTACATAACTGACGACAGATAAATGTCACATATATTACCGTTTCGCTCGTGCAACGCCGCACAAGGTACCCTCCTGGTCTGAAGAACTTGGCACGAGTGTCGCGGCAGCGATGAAACTATACCCCCGCGAAGCATTTTCGCTAGACCTACATTTTCATTTGAACTATGTGGTATGCGGAAAGTTCGGTGGCACAGATGTCTGCCCGGGTCACGCTGACTTAAAGGCGTTGCTGCTGTACCGCTAACACGGCTAGTTAATCGCCCTTTCAACGAACGGCATCAGAGTAAATTACAAAATAATGCCGCGCTCGTGTTTTGTAATTAGCAAACAACTACAAAACAATCCTGAAGTTTTCAGCGGTGAGGTCGTTCTTTTGATAGATGCTGTGAGCAGACCGAAACAAAGACGGACACGCCTGCTGAATGACGAGGTTCCCAGTGCCCGCCGTACCTTCCAACGTTAGGGATCAGTCACATGCTGATTGGTGAAATCAAATACCCAGCTTCGGGAGCAAAGTTCTAAAACATAAGAATTCAACAAAATATCGGCATGATGGCGACAGGAATGCTGTCAGTGGCAGAGTTCACCAGATTCAGTAAAAGTCTTAGTCGAAAACGTTTCGTTGCTACGGTTCATAGCCATCGGCTTGGCGCTGACATCTCAGACATGACAGTTGTGGACAAACGCAGCCTTTTACTTTTTGAAACATTACCGTAGGCACATCATAATTTGTACCACTGGGGGAAGCGGCATACGGTTGACCTGTTGCAAACGCGCGTTCGTTTGGACACAGCACGTAGCGCACACGAATAAACGAATAAAATAAATAAACGAGTAACGGATCAGCACCCGCGCGTTTACGACGTTCGTTAGCAGGAACGCCGCGAAAAAAGCAATGTTTTGTATGATTACGACCATCCGAAGAAAGGCTCGTTTTGCCGCAATGGGATAGACAAGATCCCGCGGTGCTAGCCCACAGGCGCGCTTACACGCGCAGGTCCATGCATGTGCTCGATGCTGATGAAGGCGGCCGTGCGGCTTGAGCCGTTGAAGCAGCGCCGGCGTCCACGCCAGTGCGGGCCCTCTCTCTCCACAGCGCGCGATGCGCAGGGTCGCCCGGCCGCCACGGAGCCAAACACAGTGGCCCGCCATCAACATTCCGCCAGCGCCACAAGAGGTCGCTACAAACCTGCCGGCAAATGGCGTCCGAAAGAGGCAGCCTGCCGGTGGCGCTAATTCAATGCGGCTGTGGAGCGCCGTTGAATAGCGGCGGCGCAGCCAGCCGGCCCGGCTGGCTGGGCTGAGCGCCGGACTCCGCACCGAACCGTGCCCGGCCGTGTCAGCCGGTACGGCTCACATCACCGGACCCGACCACGGTTCACATCACCGGACCCGACCACGGTTCGCATCACCGGGCCTGACCATGGTTCACATCACCAGACCCAACCATGGTTCACATCACCGGACCCGACCACGGTTCGCGTCACCGGGCCTGACCATGGTTCACATCACCAGACCCGACCATGGTTCACATCACCGGACCCGACCACGGTTCGCATCACCGGACCCGACCATGGTTCACATCACCGGACCTGACCATGGTTCACATCACCAGACCCGACCATAGTTTACATCACCGGACCCGACCATGGTTCACATCACCAGACCCGACCATGGTTCACATCACCGGACCTGACCATGGTTCACATCACCTGACCCGACCATTGTTCACATCACCGGACCCGACCATGGTTCACATCACCAGACCCGACCATAGTTCACATCACCGGACCCGACCATGGTTCACATCACCAGACCCGACCATGGTTCACATCACCGGACCTGACCATGGTTCACATCACCGGACCCGACCATGGTTCTCATCACCGGACACGACCATGGTTCGCATCACCGGGCCTGACCATGGTTCACATCACCGGACCCGACCATGTGACGGCGATCGGGCAGGTTTACTTGCGTCCCCCGCCCCGCTTACATCACCGGACCCAGATACACGCCAGCGACGGGGTGCGTTTCGCGTACCGCCCGCTGCGACCACCCCGCCGTCATCCGGCAGGCCGGCGCTGCCGCCCTCCTGCAAGCCCAGCAGCTAGCACCACCCGCATTGCAGCAATCGCGGCACGCAGCCACACGAATTGAACCAGCGGCGTCCGACTGGCCACAACAGTGGCTGGCGAATTAGTGAACCGTCGGCTTGTTTTTCCCGCCGTCCCTTGCCCACATCTCGAGCCGGGGGAATTTCATTTCTGGCTGGAACCCAGACAAAAAGCTGAAGCGAGCCGGCTCACGCCACTCGACACGCGGCACGAGGGGACGTCCAGACACGTGACATTCACCCGGCCAATCCAGGAGTGATGCGATGAACAGAGCCGCGCGCAAACTAGCGCCAAACCGATTAATTTCGTCCGATGCAATTGCCAGGAGAAACGTACAGATGCATTCGCGATACAAGTCGGGACGGAGCGACTGGATAGCAGGACTACACGATGGCAGCAAACGGCGCACCCGGCTGCGTGGTCGTTTTTGCCAGCGACGATGGCTGGCCGCTTCGCCGCGGCGAGAAAAAAAAACAGCGGCATGTTACGACCCTGGCTTTTTGTGTAATGCGGTTCGGGAGAAGTCGTCACCGCAAAAAAAAACTACTTCCTCCTTTCATTGGAAAAGCCAGGACTGGAAGAAATCCATTAGCAACGCGCAAAACCAGTATATCCGCCCGCGACCTCAGCATGAGGGGGAAGGGGGTGAACGCGACCGCCGCGCTGAAAGGCGACCGCCGCGACTCGGTCGCGCCGCCCATCCATTCCGGGTCCATCCATTCCCGAATCGGCGCTGACACTGATCACCCGCCGACTGCGTGGCCCAAACACGGGAGCGCGGCGCCGCGACACCGGCCGGGGTGACGGGGCGGCGCGCCGCCGGCCGGCGCCGGCCGGCCACGGCCGGCCACAAGTCACCGCAAAACTGGGTCTGCGCCATAAAGCACATACAATCTCGGCGGCCACACATCAGGAAAAGTGCTGAGTACGACAGCGCGGATTCCGCTGCGTCGGATCTCGACCCACTTTGGGCAACGGGGCGCCGCCGTGTGCGGCCTCCGAAGCCGCCTCCGCTCGGGCGGCAGCCAGGCCACCAGTGGGGCAGAAGCGGCGCCGGCCACCCGGCTAGACTGGGGATTCGCAGGCGCCTGCGGTCGCCAGGTCGTGCGACGTGCCGCCAGTCCAGTGATGTCTGCACCGGACCAGTCACTCGCAGGCTCATCGTGAATTCCGAACCCCTGCAACAGGCTGAGGGTCCTACGGTCCGGCGCATGCAGCGCATAAAGGAAACCTGGCTGATGCAGGCTACGTCGGCGGCGGAGGGAAGCCAGCATCGCCGCGCATCGGACGCCGCGGGCGGAAGATACGGAATCCCGAAGGCCGGCCGCCGCGCCGCCAACGAGCGTCAGCTGAGCGCCGTCGGCGCGCAGTGGCGAGCCGAGGACGCGTGCGCGCGTGGCTCGCCGCTCTCAGGAGTGCCGGCCGACCGAGCGTGCCCGAGAGCAGCGCCTCCGGCCGGCGCTGCGGCGGGATCACAGCGGGCGCGGGCTGGCTGGGCCCCGCTCCCCCCCCCCCCCCCCACCCCCAAGCCCAGCCCAGCCCAGCCCAGCCCAGCCCAGCCCAGCCCAGCCCAGCCCAGCCCAGCCCAGCCCAGCCCAGCCCAGCTCAGAGCAGCGCAGCGCAGCGCAGCGCAGCGCAACGCAGCGCCGTCGCCCGCCGCGCTCGGCAGGGCGCTGCCCCGGTGCCGACGCTCGCCTCGCCTCGCCTGGCCGGGACCCGTGCGGGTCAACGGGTCACCCGGCGACACGGCTGGCCTGAGCCGACCACGCCCTCCTCGGCCGGCAGGCCAACCCCATCAGGGGCGAACAGGCCCACCGCAGCCGACAGCGGGGCCGTAAAGCCGTCTCCGGGGAGCCATGCGGGTGACACTGAAGATCATGTATGGAAATGAGCGCCATCGAAGTGGACATCAGTCCCGTAACTTGCAAGCGGTACGGGGCTTATCTCAAATAAGTGCCAGCTGCAGAGAGCTTTAACTGCTATTCCTGGCCGAAAGACGGCAGAGAATTAAACTCGGTCTCAAACTTTGCCTGCTTCACAGAACCGTAAAACGGTTCAAATTGTACCCACTCACGCTCAGCTGAAAATGACAGCTTGACACATGAGGGACCGCACGGGTGCGCGCAGGTCCCACCAGCATCTCTTGTGCATGACCGATAATCGCGATAAATGCCTGACGCCCTGAACGGTGCCATCGGTCGCTTGCCATTGTCCCACTGCCCGTATATGACAATGGCACGGTCTGAGTAATGATTTAAATGGCCGCAGTCACTCGTCTTTTCCCGGCTCTCCGCCATTGCGCTTGTGCGCCGGGCAGCGCGGGTACGCCGTGATGTCTCACCATTATCGTGACGTGCCGCCGGCGCGGCCTTTTTCGGCGACGCCTCGAACTCCGAGTCCGTATCGCTGATGGTCGCCGCCGGCTTCGGTTTGGGCTTACTGGCTCTGCAAACAGACGGGGGACGGCCATTACACAGCGGCCACGCAGCGCGGAATCACAGGGCGACCGAGGCAGCTGGCAGGCCACAAACGAGACAGACGCCGCGCCTCCCCACTGCGACAGGTTCAAACAGCACACCTGTCACGCGCCGAGCTGGCCGCGTCACGGCCGACACCGGTACCGTGACGTCACACTGGGTCACGCCGCAGACTGGACAGCGCTCAGCTCCAGACCGGGAGCGGTTGGGCCCGCGACAGCTGGCGTCCAGCGACAGTCCACCGGCGCTGGCCCCGTCCTTCCCGCGGTCGCTCGACGGCCGGACGGCCAGCCCCGTCAGCGCTCGCCGACGTCGGCGGCGCCGACCGCGTGGAGCAGAGCGCCGCCCTCGCCGTGCCGATCACGGCACGGCGAGGGGGTCGGGCCACCGTCCGGGAATTATAGCCCCCTCCTGGTGCTCTCCTCTCCCGCTGAGGGGCAGCCCTCGTGACAGGTGAGTCACTTCAACAGTCTGTGCCAGTCCGGCCACGGTCCGTGACGGCCCTTGCACAGTATGTGTCAGACCGTCCAGTCTGTGCCAGTCCGTCCAGTCTGCCAGTCCGTCCACAGTATGCGTCAGTCCGTCCACGGTCTGTGTCAGCCCGTCCAGTCTGTATGAGCTCGTCCACAGGATATGTCAGTCCGTCCACTTCGTCGTCAGGTCTGTGGAGACCGGCCACCGGCGGCCAGCAGTTCCGTGCCCCGGCGGCGCCCTTCACGGACCGCTCCGCCGCGCCGCAGAGCGGACCGACGCGCCACCCTTCCTTCCACCTAAGCGGAACCGAGTGCGATTCTTACTCACAGGACAGGTGTCAGGAGCTGACGACGGCGGCTCGACCTCCAAGCCGCAATGCGCGGAAGAGTCGGCGCAAGCGGGTTGCGTAAAGTGCGTTCCAAGCTTACGACGGAGAGGAAGTTGGATAAAACCTGCCCACGGGATTACACAGCGCTAGACTGCACCCACATTTTGTAGCGTGACGATGATGCGGAGCTTCCTATCACTACACAAGGCGCGTCACCCCTCTATGCATGTCGAAATCGTCCGAATAAAGTAAGTCATTTGATGTTATTTACCCGGTCGCCATACATGCCCGTCTCAGAGCTCCATAACAGGGCCCATTCCCGCTCCCAACAGTATCCACCCAGTCCCCAGAGTCGCCCTGCCCCGACATTTGTCTTTCCTATAGCCTTCCACAGCACGCCACGCTGACAACGCACATCGGGCTCTGCATCACGCTCATACCGGCAGCTGCAGCATCTGCAGACCGCACACCCGCAGCCCAACCTAACCGGAGCGTCGGCTGGCAGGACAACGTCCAGAGTGCCGCTGACCGGCAGAAAAACGGCCGGAGCGTCGCTGGCTGGCAAACGACGACCGGAGCGTCGCTGGCTGGCAGACAACGGCCGGGAGCGTCGCCGGCCGGCGGACAGCGCCCCCGCAGTGCCGACGTCGCCGCTCCGTCCCAGCCGGTCGGCCGGCGTCGGCATCCAATGCGGCCTGCCGCCGCTGGGCCGCCCGCATCTGTCGGGGCTGACGCCCGGACATCGCCGCCGTCGCCGACGCCGACGGGCCCGCGACGCCCGGGCACCGCCGCCGACGGCCCGCGACGCCCGGACACCGCTGCCGTTGCCGCCGCCGACGGGCCTGCGACGCCCGGACACCGCCGCCGACGACCCGTGACGCCCGGACGCCGTCTCCGTCGCCGCCGATGATGATCATAACTTGGGGTTTAAGGGTGCATCGACTGCTGTAGGTCATGCAGCGCCATAACTATCAATTTACACAGAGCCGCCAATCAGGCAAGTGCATCAATCAGGTCACCCTATAAAGCCTTGATGATTAGGCCTAGAATGACGATGAAAAGATAACGGGAAACCTTTAGCACGAAGAAGCTGGAGCACTTTACCAAACTCGACAGCGTGCGAAGAATCTCCTAGTCACATAGCGTGCGACTCTGGACGTAGTGTCCGAAAAACTGCGCTCTCAATGCAGTACGGTGACGGCAAGCGACCAGTACGTGATGTACGATCAGCGGGTCAGAGCATCGACTGCAGCATGGTCTGTTGTCAGCCAATACCAGGTGACGATGCGTAGCATATGTGTGGCCTATGCGCAACCGGCAAAGAGAAAATTCTTCCCTCCGATTGTCCCGAAAACACGACTGCCATAGTCCAATATGGGGCTTCACGGACTGCAGCTTATTAGCGCTCGCCGAGTTTTAGTGGAACTGCCACCACTTCTGCATAAACGACGACACTGCGGTGTACATGTCTTGAGCTGGTAGTTGTGTTTAAGGAATGCGTGTCCCAGTCGTAGCGCGTTTTGCTGCCGCGTCAGCAAGATCATTTCCGCAGATCCCCACGTGACTTGGGGTCCAGCACAGTCCGACCGTTTTTCCTGCTCGATCCAGTGAGCTAAGACACAATTGAATGTCCTGGACCAGTGGATTCGACGAGAAGCCGCCAACAGCCAGGAGACTGCTCAAGGAGTCTGAAAGAATCAAATGCAGATTGCTATCGTCCACCTCAATAAAACAGAGAGCTTTGCTGATGGCTATAAGCTCAGAAGTGTAGACCGACGCGTGTGAACGCAGTGTGAATGACCGGGCTGTGGATCCGCACACAAAAGCGCACCCTACACCTGCATCCGTCTTCGAACCGTCGCGAAAACACTGCTTCGTGGGTGGGATAATCTGGGAACTGCGCCAGCTTGCACGTGTAGCGCAGCCCCATCATCTGCCTTCGCAATGCTAGTGGGGGCTCGTGAGCCTCCACCAGAAGACTATCTATGGGCGATGTTCGAGAAGCCCCTGTGACGATACGTAGTGCGGCGTGATGCGCCGTGTTCAAAGTACGTTGATCAGGCCTGAAGAACCGTCATAGATAAAACAGCCGTAGTCAGGTTTTGAACGAATCAGGGAACGACATAGGAGTACGAGTGTCCTATCAGCACCGTACGATGTACGTCCTACGCACCTTAGGATGTTAAGAGATTTTAAACATTTGTCGCGGAGATTTCTTATGTGCTCGCGGTATGTTAGGTGTCGGTCAAATCGTATACCGATAAATTTCACAGTACTGTCATTGGCGACGTGATGCCCATACAGCCTGATTTCCATTTCAGGACAGTGACGGCGACGACGACAGAAATGGACTGCAGTTGTCTTCGATGTGGAAAACCGGAACCCATTCAGCACACTCCACTTCTCCAGACGTGACACCAGCTGCAGCTGTCGCTCCATCGTGCGAGTGGTCGATGACCTACACCAAATAGACGAAGTCGTCTACGAACAGAGAACGGCTGATCCCATGTGGAAGCGTGTCTCCTATGTCATTAATCATCACGGCGGACAGAATGACACTTAATAGGCTGCCCTGAGGCATACCATTCCGATACCTGTCGGAGTGATGAGAACCAATACGCACCCGAAGGAACATGTCAGTCAAAAAATTTGTAAAAACTTTCCCATGTGACCGCGGACGCTACAGTCGAGTAACTTCATCAGAATCCATGTCTCCATGTGGTATCATAAGCTTTTTCTATGCCAAAAAAGATGGCGCCGGTATGACGTTTGCTAATGAACCCGGCTCGCACTGCGGTATCAAGAGTTAAGATGTAGTCAATCGTGCTCCTGTTCTTACGGAATCCGCACTGAGCATTCGTCGTGAAAAGTTTGACGTTCTAAAGTCCACGAGAGCCGCACATTCACCATTATTTCCATGAGCTTACAAAGCGAAGATGTGAGGGCGATCGGGCACTAGTTAAGGGAAATCGTCCCACTTTTCCTGGGCTTTAAAATAGGCACTACTATGGCCTCTCGCCAGGTTGGCGGGAAGCTACCTGACTCCCATATGCGGTTGAAAAGTGCCAGCAGTGCTCGTAGTACACGGGAGGAAAATGCCGTACCATATCATTGTGGATGAGGTCGGGCCCCTCCGCTACACTACGCAGCGAGCGAATGCCCGCTTGAAGTTCCATCATAGTGAAACGCTTGTCGTACGTTGTACGTTTAACAGGATGTCCACTGTATAAAAATTATCTTGCGAAGTTTCACATCGCGCCCGGTGCCGTGGATCGCAGGTGCCATTTCGGCAACGGTCTGACATGGCTTCCCAAATGGCTTCCGCGACATCACTTGGGTGAGTGATGTCTTGACTTCCCACTCGCAGTACGGGAAGGGAGATTGGTGGATGCAGTCCAGCAATTCTTTTAATGCGGCCCCATACATGTGACGTCGGCGTGAGGCGATTCAGAGTTGACGTAGCTGCGCCATGATGCACGTTTCGCCCCTCGTATAGTGTGGCGCGTAGCCGCGCGTGCTTGCCTGACAGCCATGAGGTTTAATGTACTGCTGTGCCAGTCAAAAGCCCTAAAAGCTCTCCGACGTGCACGAATAGCGTCGCGACACTCGCTCCACCAAGGTACAGGGGTGCGACGAGGGCATCCGGAGGTGGGCGGAATGCATTCTTTCGCCGCATCCAAAACGAGAGACGAAAATTCCTCCGTCGTCAGAGCCGCAGAGTCGAAATTGTTCGAAAGGATTTCATCGAGGCGGGTCTCAAATCCACTCCAGTCCACCTTCTTGAAATTCCAACGCTGAGGTCGAGTACCAAGAACAGTACCACCGCGGTACCGAACCCAGACCGGAAAATGGTCACTTCCGAGGGGGTCCTCTGAAGCTCCAGGTGAGG